GATGAGTACAAGAATGAAGACAATGTTCTAAAATTGATTGTGGTGATGACTGTACACTCTTCTTGATGCGACTGAACTACTGAATTGTATGATATGTGAATAATATACACACAAAAACGGTTTAAAAAAATAACTGAGACCTTCACCAAGAAAGAGTGTACCAGAGCTAGTAGACATGTGAATATATACAACATTGAATGTTTTCATCTTAATATCTTCACAAAACATAAAAACAGTTCAAGCAAAACAAAGTATTACACTGTGTTTTATAAATGATAATCTACATAGTTGTAATACTTAAGACAATCACAAAGGACCAAGGTGGGGGAAATGGACCCATCTCATTGCCCAGTGATTACAGCTTGTCTGAAATGGTAAGATGTCTAAGTAGACTGTAAAAAGTTAAGACAGCGAGGACCCGCACTGCGCTGAGGTGTTCCTCTACTAAACTGCATTGCCGCTGTGTCCCCAAATCGGGGCATCGGCAAGAACGGAACCCTACCCTGGCCCATGCTCAGGAATGAATTCCAGGATTTCCAGAGAATGACCACGCCCACTAACTCTTCAGTAGAAGGTAAACAGAATTTGGTGATGATGGGTAGGAAGACCTGGTTCTCCAGTCCTGAGAAGAATAGGCCTTTGAAAGACAGAATTAATTTTAGTTCTCAGTAGAGAACTCAAGGAAACCCCACAAGGAGCTCATTTTCTTGCCAAAAGTCTGGATGGTGCCTTAAAACTCATTGAGCAACCAGAATTAGGAAATAAAGTTGACATGGTTTGGATCATAGGAGGCAGTTCTGTTTACAAGGAAGCCATGGACCAACCAGGTCATGTTAGACTGTTCTTGACAAGGATCCTGCAGGAATTTGAAAGTGACGCATTTTTCCCTGAAATTGATTTAGAAAAATACAAACTTCTCCCAGAATTCCCAGGTGTTCTTCCTGATGTCCAGGAAGAAAAAGGTATTAAGTACAAATTTGAAGTATATGAAAAGAATGACGGATAGGAAGGCATTTCTCATTTACGTCAAGTTGCTCTCAAAAGAATTAAGTATTTTAGCATCAGGAAAAGAGACTTTGTTGGCTTCAGATCTGTGGATAATTACTTATCAGCAGTGATTTTTATTTTTTAATTTTGTTTTTCCTTCATTAGTCCTAAGTAGACTATATCACATACCACTTGTGAAACATTTCTTACTCTAACTATATAAATCCCTTATGGTCCAGGGTTGGGTCTACACCTGCCCACACTAACATACTGCCCAGACCGCCGTGTGTGAGAGCCCCTGACTGCGTGAGTTGAAAGGAGGGCCCAGAGATGGGAGCTAGACAGAAGAAACAGTGTGGTGCAAATCCGTGACACACAGCACAACTGCAGTTCCTAATTCAGATGAAAATGTTATCAAAGGCTATACATTATTCTGAGTATGTCAGATTTCTGATAAATTCTGTTCCCTCAGAGCAGGGGATCAGTGAGCTGAGAACTCTGGTTATTCAGTAAAGATGGTGCGAGGTGGGTAAAAGACTAACTTTTTGATTTGTTAAAAGTGAAGAAAAGGTCTGAGACCTTTTAAAGTATTGTTTCCACTCTTCAGTGAAATTCCATGGGATATTGCAATGGAGAGTGCTCTATTTAAAGAAATCTAATAGCAAGCATAGTGACAAAAATTAAAAGTTCAAAAATATAACAAATTACAAATAAATATTCCTAGAAACCCAAATTAGTGAATTAGAAAATATACTTCACAAAATTAAGTATTGAGAACATATCTTTTATCTATGATGTTGGCAGAGTTTATTATAGTATACAAAGAATTTTCTGTATTGTAAGTTACAACCATTTCAAAGTACAAAATTAATAATAGCAATTAAAATTCAGGATGTTCTAGTTTTACACCCAGAAATTTTACTTCTAGAAATTAATTCTGAACAAACTGGCATTACAAACCACACCAAAACAATGGTGCCTTGAATATAACCAGAAGTACTGCTGTCTGGAGTTTCTGGAGCTGAACACTCAACTAATCAGTAAATAGAAATTGATATATATTAAAAAAAAAAAATGGTTAAGACAGCATGGTCTAAAACAATGAGACGACAGAGGCCGGGAAACGACCTCAATGAAAACCACCACGCCAGAACGAGAGTACTGTCCACTACAGAGCACACACCCAGGTCCCGCAACAGGCTATGCAGAACTGGCTGAATGGGAGCCTACACTACTTGTTCATCTTCCCTGAAAACACAATAACATTTTATTTTAAAAATAAAGAGCAGAAACAAAGAATTAAACAGGCGTCCTCAAACCAACTATACCAATATGGATACGAAATATAAATGTACAAAACACTCCAATTGAAAGGTCAGACTGGATAACAAAGGAGGACCCAACCAAATGTTTTCTATAAAAGGTGCACTTTAAATATCAATATACAGATAAAAGGAGTAAGTTATAGCCTACAAACAGTATGGCTGAGAAAGCTGACTGGTTTTAGGAGGATACGTCAAAAACATTTCTACCAGTGTTCAGTTCACACCTGGACACATGTGTTGAAACGTGTCTCCACAATCAGCAGGTGGCTGCACACAGGTGCTCTCAGCAATCCGTCTGCCTCGGTCTCCTTAGCGGAGCCCTGCTGGTGTAACGGTTCAGCACTGGAAACTGCCAGCCATTCTAAGGGCGAAACATGAAGCTTTCTGCTCCTGTAAACAGTTACAGTTTGGGGACCCACAAGGACGGTACTATCCTGGTCTAAAGGTCCCTCTAAGCTAGAATCGAATCCATGGCTGCAAGTTCGGTTTTGGTCTTGGTTAGTCTCCTTACTTGGTTAGTCTTTAAAACCAACAACCAGTCAGCCAGGGGGTTCCGAGGGGACCTGCTGAGCCACTTCAATTCCAGGCCCTGGGTACTTCAGAAGCCATGGCAACTGAATTGTGAGATTCCAAATGGAAAATCTCGATCCATTGTCCCTACAGACACACGATTATCATGGAGGCTTATGAAGATGAAGTTTCAAGAAAATTGAAAACTGCATTGATGAGGAAAAGTTGTGCTAAGGAATTTTCCACCCCATCATGATAATGCACCTCTTCATTCTTTGTGGGCATCAAAGGCTGCCTTCCCTCCACCGCCGCAGCTCCAGTAACATTAAGAACAAACACAAGCCGAGTCCCTCAAGGATACCCAAACTACCATTTGACATGGTATGCATCGAAAATTGCAGTTCTTTGGGGGAGGGCTCAGAGAGGTGGGAACACCACTTTCAGTAAGTGTATAGGTCTAGTTGGAGACCACGCCAAGAAACAATAGCATCATATTTTAATATTTGATTTAATAAGTTTCTATGATTTTATAACAATAAATTTGGCTTACCCCATACTCGTGGTAAATAAAGCCCCAAAAGGAAAAAGAGAGGGATGGTACAGCAAGGGGAGGAGAGCAATTCAGTCCCTGGAGGGTACCAAACATAGATTATGGGGCCAGGGCATGGCTTCCCATCAGACTCGTAAAGGTCAACAAACACCTTCAACTACT